CTAGCTGTTCAGGAAGCAAATGAACATTCATACAAAAGTACATATTTAATCTTTTGCCAGATCTTTCGGGAAAAAAAAATTATATATATATATATACTTTCGCCAACTCGAGAAAAAACTTTCGCCAAATGAGATTTTGATATGTTCCGGGTCATCGTCATACACAATGCTGTCTAGGACCTTTAGATCCACAACCATATACCAAAAGGTAACTGGAAAATGCACTGCACCAACGAGGTTTGGGCAAAAAACTGCGATGTGGAAGATGGAAACCTGAAGCTCCATGCGAGTTCAGGATGGCTAATCGATACTGGCATGGAGAGCCCATGAACCCCGAGGCTTCAACGCATGCAAGTGATGCAACACCAAGAAGGAACTCAACATTGGACAAAAGGCTCCATGGACCTCGCAGCCGCTACAAAGCGGCAGAAAAATGTTGCTCAATGCCTTTTTGTGGCATCCACGGAGCAACAAAGCGCAAAATCTCCGAACACATTGCAAACACCCCTTCGTTCAAAGTGGGACGTCCTCCCAGGCTCAACTCCAAATCCACTGCATCAATCCTGCAGAGCGAAAAGCACCGTTTTTACAATGCCGTTTGAAAAAGATGTGGCAATGAATGCATTTGTACAGAACCGATAATCTTCATGAGTTCCGAGCACCGAGACTGCCCCAATGAAGCCCAACACCTTAACAATTTGCGTCTCGGACCCAAACAATCTGTGGGAGACTGAGAACCCAACAACAGTGAAGAAGCCGGTGTTTGCCCAAAACACAAGCGAGGGGTCTTGACCTCAAAAGTGCACCGGAGTCGTGTTCCACATGGCCGGATTGATCAATGTATGTTCAAAGTCTGAGTTTGCCGCTAAAGACCTTCAAGTGCCCAAAGCCTTGCCATCCCCAAGGCTTTTCAATGAGCAAAAGTAGAATGGCACAAAGAACCTATTCACTTTCCAGTCTCAGATCATGACAAAAAATGATCGTCAGCATGCCCGATAAAACAAACAAAGGCCACCTGATCAGCACATGCGTGCAATTTGGGGAGCCATGCACATACTCAACGGCCAAGTGCAGTGCGCTTTTTGAATTTCTACCATTGAGGCAAGGAAGCTATCCCTCAGCAGAACGTCCACACTGCTTGGCACACATGTCATGACAACCTCAGAAGCACTCAGGCCATGACAATCCAAATCTGAAAGCCAAGCGGTTCAAGTTTGCAAGCCTGGATGAATCCTGCGGAAAAATCACACGCAGCCCAAAGCTACATCAACACATGCATAGCAACGGCTCCGTAGGGAAGCACACTTTGTTTGCCACAGCAATGCTTGGATAATCTGGCTCATCGCCTGCGCAAACTACACCCAGAAGCTCCCGCAAATGCTCCAGATTCAAGCTCCAGCTGTTGTTGCCAATGCTCACTCCAGCAGGGCAAATTGTGCTTGGCCACTTCCAAGTGTTTTGTGTTTTATTGGGAGTAAGTAAGCATGGGTAAGCTGGGCCCTTTCACCCTACAGGCCACCCCACCGGGCCCAAGGTCGGTGTGTTGGAATTTTCCCAGATCAATTCTATCACTCTAGGTCTGCCGCTGTGTGGGCATTGTCCGGCAGCTAGCTGGCCCTCAATGCCTCGGTCAAGTAGGGATCGGCCAAGCTCGGCAATTCTCGCGCCACCGACGTTCATTTATAGATGCGCACTTCTGCGCAGTGGCCGTTGAAACTCCTGTGTCACTTTCTGCACTCCCTCCCTCCCCTAGCCACCTTTGACTCAGCCTCACTCTCTCTCTCTCTCTCATTTGTTTTCTGTTTCTGTCCGCAGGCTTGCACTTGGGATGACGGTGATCCAAATGTCCGAGGATGACACTCAGAGGGCACTGTGAGACACACACCTTACTGGCTCACATACACAAAGTCTACGACGGCTTCTCGGTACCCGACACCCCTAAAGAGAAAAGGGATGAGCACAAAACACCTTGGGGCTGAGCCAAGTCAGAATAGCTTGGTGACTGGGACTAGGCGGCCAGGACAAATTACAACGTCTTCACGGATGTGCAAGACTCCGAGGCAAAAGCCGGGCACATGTACAGATATGGCATTGTGGCCTCAGCACCGCATGCAAAGTTCAATGAGCAGCCCGACTTTTACCTGGGGGCCATGCCACTGGCTCGCTCACTCCACAAATCAACCTTGACTGTTGGCAGCGAGCATGACAATATTATCATACTCTTGGGGAATCTGAGCACCGCGCCCATTGCCGTTTGGAAGCCCGGTCCTTGAACTCTGAAGTCAAAATGTCTCAAGGTATTGCGTCACATGGGAAAATGCGCGCACTATCTACAGTAAGTGCTTGGCAGCTCGAGCAAGTTCCCATGATCTACAGCATAGTAATAGGCCTCGGAAAGCCATCTGAAGGCGTTTGATCTATACACACGTGCGACGCATCATCGTTGCTTCGCAACCACTGCAGCTTTTGCTGGAGGGCTTTTTGCTCTAGAATCCTGCTCTAGGATCCAGCGTGAATTGGTTAGATGGCTGCCAGAAGTCTGCGCGGTCTCCGACACAAAGTGTTGCGATATCACTGAGCATTAGACCCAAATCAAGAAGCCAAAGCATCCAAGGAAAGGCAAAATCCAAAAAGCATCCGTGCCTGAGCCATTGTTGTGCGATTGTTGTGTCATTGTTGAAAAAACTCCGTGAACTACCCCGAACGCCAAGTCCACCACATGAACGCCCGACATCTTCAGGCCTCCAAGAACGGAGTACTCTGGTCAAAAATGGGGAACATGGTGCAAGTAAGACGTTGAGGTGCACAAAAACCGGCTAAGCCACTGGCTTTTCAGACCTTGATGTGTGAATTTCCATCAGAATCATTCTAACCCCCAAGAGACGCGAATGAAGCTGGGCGCAAAGCATCTCTGACCTTGCCAGGAGACGGGTTGCATCTTGATTGGGAAAGATTGCAAAACCCTTGCATACAGATTTGGGTGCTGAGAATCTGAGAACATGGACCAGAGTTGACCAACGAAAACTCGGCTTCAGATCTGGCTGTATTCCTCTGGAGCCAAAGGATCTCCCCTGTCCAAGAGTGAAGCAATCTTTGATCAGTACATGATGTGCATGTTTGTTTGTGTGTGTGGGTGGGTGTGTGGGTGGGGGGGGGGCTTCCTTTTGCTGCCGTCACAGTCTCGCGCCCTGGCATCGACTAGTGAACATACACGCGTGGAGTCACGCTGCCCCTCAGCATGAACAAAACACCCCCGTTCCCTGGGAGACACGCCAAATATATACAGTAAGTGTAACAGATTTGCTCTTGCATGTTGTGCCGCACGAGACTTGCGAGTGATTCATCCACATTGATTTGTCGTGCCCCAGGGTTGTGCACTCTCGCAGTGCAGCCCCATGTTCGCCGGCCAGCATGAGCATGTTGCCTAGGACAAGTCTGGCAAGTTTCACAATGCAAAGGGTTCTTTCCCCAAAAGTCAACTGATCAGCCCACCTCGAAACACATCCAATAACGTTCTCTCACCAATCCAGCTTGAGTCGAGCAAGCTGCTCCTGTGCCAGCTGCACCTTGAACACTGAAGCACGACATGACATAACCCAAACCAATCACCGATCACCCTTGAATTGTGATATGCTCAAGCATGCTCAAAGTTGCGACCGTCAATATCCAAGAGACATTTCAAACACAACCTTTTGCAAGTGCTCTCACCTACAAGTATCAGTTCAGGACCTCAGTGGCACGTCTGACAGCACTGAAGAATGTCTCTCCCTGCTGGGACGTGCGGATCTCAGTGCAAAGGGTTTAAATTGCTAGTATGCTCTCACCAGCGAATCCCTTAGCCGTGCGCCATCATTGTGGCAGAACTATCCTGCACTGAAGGCTTCTTGCACCCTGCATCACCAGTGCATCCTGTGAGGTGTCCAAGCTGGGTCGAAATGAATTTCTTTGATGCTGAGGACCTGGTTCTTGTCATAGATCACTACCTCTGGCCCATCTCCAGGATTGATTTCAATGGAGTCGTGCCCAGATGCTTTAAGCTTTTGATACGTCCAAGGGATGTGCTCATCTTGACGTCCACCACAGTATCTGCAGCATGGAAACTTCTTCATGCGTCCCACGTCCACCTTGACTTCCAACATGCAGCCGATGCCAGAGTGTGGGGTGATAGCCTTGGTCTTCGTGGCTTGGGGCGACAGGGCGAAGTATATCGCTCCACCACACCATCCAGAATGTCCGATATTGAAACCAGTTCGGATAATGCTCCGGCAAGCTTCTGGGCTTGTCTGATGGTATAGAGTCATCACCTGGCGGCCATGTTCACTCGTGGCAGGGGGGGCGGTTGCATGAGGGATCATCTTCTCTGGGCAGCATCCAAGGTACATTCCATTGGCCGTGGGGCAGCAATCTCCATGCAATCCTCTGCAAGAAGGAATGGCAGAGCAAGCAGCTGCAGATGTGGGTGCCGGAGCCGGCGCGGCCCTGCAGCGTGCATCGTAGTCAGAGCAACAGTTGCGATAGCCATGACATTTCGAGTTGCATTGGCAACTCCGGTACCGACTGTAAGATGCCCCACAACCATACCTGGCACAAGAGCCCCAGGTCTCGGAGGAGTTGTCGAACTCCTGTGCAACTGACTTCTGTAACTGCAAGGCGCTGATTGCGCAGGAATCAGAGTTCACACATTCATCATCCCCTGCTAGGACGTGCACCTCACTACCCTCACTTGTAGCAATCGCCAGTCTCACTGTCCAAAGGAGCAGTGCTACTGAATGAACAGGAAACATCCTGACAAGGGAAGTAGAAGCAAATTTCTTGATGTGAAAGAGGCTGCGGGGCCGCAATCTCGCTGCCAATGTCGGATTAAAGTGACCATCAACTCAATGGTCCCAAACCAAATTAAGTAAAAGTGCTTTAAAATCTTTAAGGTTCCAGCGTCCTTTCGAGCCTCAGCTTCTGAATGTGATCCCTAAAGAACGTTGCAAAAGCGTTGCATACTAGCTTTATCTGCAAGCCAGCCTTGGCACGGCGATAGAAAATCTCACAATCCCGGTTCGAGCAAATCACCGGCTCCAGCAAGCTTCCTCCCAATAGCTACAAGTTACAAGTGCTCAGCAAGAATGGCAACCAAGCGCGACTACGACATTGAATTCCTTGGCAGCGTTGGCATTGGGTCCACAGGCGGCTGAATTCTTCCTCTTTCTGCCGGAAGTTCTCCATCTGCTCAATCACTACCTTGGAGTTTGCAGCACCTTCCCACCTTCTATAAAATGGCCAGCACAGTCCCAAGATCACCACATCAGCCGCCTTTTCCTTTTCGCAGTGCTCGCATAGCAAGCCAGCTTTGATGACAGCCTCACATGGGCATAGCACAACGCCCCAGGCCCTGCCCTTGTACACCCTCACCACTTCACCCAGCCTTGCAACCCATACACCGCAGGCTCTTCGTCACAAACTTGGCCAATGCGCCGCCTGTGCAGGAGTTAGCCACAGCTTGCGCAGCACGATGAAACTGGCCATGAAAAGAAATCCCGATCAAGGCTGTCCTGACATCAGGTTAAACACAAAAAAACACCAGCCTTGTGGGGTTGGTGTGTGCAGCTTTCTCGTGTGTTGGCCGCAGAACAGGAGGGACTGGGCTTTCTTATCATCGCCTGGCAGGGGCATATCTACTTAAGTGCGAACTACCCAGCTACCCGTGCAATCAAACAAAAAACTTTCACGAGGAGCATGATAGACAATGGCATAACCACAAAACCACAAGATTGGCCACAAGAGTGTAAGGCAGTCACAGTCCTCTCTGTGTCCAACCATGTGTGTGTGTATCGTTTATGATTTGTGAGGGTTGGCTAAATCACAGCACTTGCAGTAATGAGGACTCTAGAGGAAGGGAAAAGAAGAGAAGCTCACCCCAATTGGCAAAGAAAGAGTATAGTATACAGTATAGCGTTTCAAAGTCTTCTCCAATCACCTGAATGCTAAATATGACGTCTCAAAAAATGGTGCCAGGTAAGTCTCCAGCTTTGAGGGCGTTTGTAGGGTGCGGCAAAGCGGTGTGAAGCGAGCTAGGAGTCATGGCGAAGCAGGAGCAAGGGCGGCGTATGGGTGGGAATGGCAGGCACAAAGATTTGCAGGTGTTGGTTGGCCTATGGTGACTATGGTGGGGTATATTTGTGGGCTCGCTTGGATTCGCTGGTGATGCACAAAGCTGCCATTGAGATTTGAGATGTGGCGCTGTCTTTTCTGCATCATCTGGTGGCTTGCTGCTGTTGTTGGGCAGCGGATGGTGAGTGGTGGCCCTCCGTGGTCCTGAGGTCTTCATGAGAGATTTTTGCAAGAGGTGCGCAGGTAGAGGAATTCTCGATTGGTTCACCCGAAGACCGTCAAAACACGTTGGAGGACATTGACGCTAATCTACTCATCGACTCATTTGACTTCACGGTTGTGCTATTGTTTCAGAAATGCATCTTAGGTACCCATGATTGGACCAAATATTCGAAGGAGAGGAAGCTGAAGCTGATGCTCGATGTAATATTGGGCATCCACTGATTTGTTGTTCCTTGGTGCTCACGACTTTTTTGCACGTCCAGAACCTATGATGCAATCAAGTCTGCTAAGCCAGCATGCTCCAGTGCATACAGCGGATCCTCGCTCCTCTCATAAGCCTCAACCAAAAAATGCTGTTATAGTCGTCTATATAATTACTTATAGCTCTGTAGCCGTGGGAAAGTGCAGTACATCAGCACATCCGTACCTTGGCACCTTTGGAGCCGGTAACAATGACGTAGGGCACTCGATCTCCGCTTCCTGGTGCAGTTGATGGATCCCGCCTCGGCTCCACATCGGTGACGCCAGCTGGCTGCGTCGTGACCGGTCGTGGTTAGAGCTAAAGCTGGAGTACTTATTGGCCTTCACACCAATCTGCTTTTACTGCTCGACAGCTTACACTGGGAATGAAGCTTCCTCATGCGCTCTGCCAGCTCCACATGAGCTTGTTTGGCAGCATAGTCCTGCACCCAGGTGATGATGCTCAAAGCCCAGCCATGCTATGATGCTGCGACTCTCCTCTGCATGGGCACCTCTTCCTAATGACCTGAACAGAGTTTCTTAAGGAATGCTGGGACTCTGACAAGAGGTTCTGACCAAAAAATGAACAGAAAGGGAAACATGGTGTAAAGTGAGACCAAATGCAAAAGGAAAAAACAAATGATCAGAACTTGTTGTTCATCTGGAGCTGCTTTGTGATGACAAGCAAGGAAAGATCGATCTTGTTCTGCAGCAGGTCCGACACCTAAGGCGCCGTCAAACGCGACACGATGACGACGAGTCTCCTGCCCTTCGGAGCCCTTCGGAACCCTTCAGGGCTCTGGCCGCTTTCTGCACAAACTCCACAGCCTCACCATGGCAACCCAAGAATTGCAACATTATCTACAACAGAACGGCAGGCTCCAATGTCTTGCTTTCTTGTTAATTCTTTGTTTTTTTAAGGGAGGCGGAGGCCGTAGATGTAGCTAGTAGGAGCTAGGTAGCTAGTAGCTTAAGTAGCTACTACTTAGGACGCAGGATAGCTCACGCTTCTTCAAGGAGCCCCCCCCGGCCGCCCTAAAGGCGGAGGGGGAAGCTTCCTCGAAGAAGCGCTCGCACTGATCATGTGATTCCTGGATTTTTTGGGAAACTTAACATTAGAAGCTACAATTTGCCGTTTGGTCTTTCTTGTTCTGTTTACTCCTTTCTCTTTCAAGACCTGTCTATTCTCCTTGGTCTTGCTTCCTTTTGTCAAGGTAAGGTGGCCACTTTGGGGACTGATTTATCAATCAGGATCGTTCTCAGCGAAATGTCCACCAGTTGACGCACAAGGCCACCTTAGCTCAGAGCAATGCCTGATGGATTGAAACAATGACAAGCGCAGGAGCAGAGGCTTCTAAACTTGTATATCTATAAAATGTCCATAATATATATTATATATAAAGTGCAGCTTGCCCGCAGTTGTCCCGTCGCACTGTCTCAATGCCCTTTGCATCCAACTTGTCGTAATTGTGAGGATTGGTCCAGTACAAACCAGCGTAGCGCCTCGGGAATTGCACACCTAGCCAAACAACATCCCACTCTCTCTCGTCCCCTCCCCTATCTTCCAATGTGCCAGACTAAGCTTTCTGCTTTTTGTTCATCAGCAAATATGGACAGTAAACCTTCTCAAACTCTAACTTGATGGGTTTTGTGAAGGTGGCACTGACCATTTCCTTAGCTGCACGCCCTGCTGTGGGGCGCCGCCATAAGGGAAAAGGGACTCAGGAACGATCCGTCTGCCAAACAGCCAAGCTGCAGCAGCTTCCTGGCCCAAGCGCATCGCCTCCGCAACATCGTCAACTCCGAATTTCACCATCACCTGGCAGCAGGAGGAAGGCCAGAACCGGAATGAGCCAAAATGATATTGTGCAATGGTTCTAGTTCTAGGTTATAGTACTACGATCTTTTGCAATTGGGACAGAACAACAAGGAAAAAAAACAAACCATCGGCAAACGGCCGCACGGAACAAAAAAGAAAAGTAAAGCGACAGGAAAGGCAAGGGCAAAGCGGAAAGCAAGAGAAGATGGATAGAAACATGTCAGGAAAAGGCAACAACAGCCACGCGGCCTTGTCAGGAACCTTAAGGTTTTAGATGGTTTTAGATAATGATTGAATTGAGATCATGCAAGAGTCCGAAACTTTGTGCTTTTGCAGCTTTTCTGGAATCGATCTGCACAGGCATGTGTCAGTTCATACTGTAAAATGTGGGGCTTTGAAAAACAAGTGCTAACCTGCTAACCACATGCAAATATCAGTTGAAATTGGTTGTTGCCAATCGATTCCGCGGCCCCGTCGATTTTCACCCGTTCGCATTGCGACAGAGTTAGCAGACAGCTGCACAACCATCGCAGAACGACCAGTGGCAAGTCTTCTAAGCATTCTCACCGCACAGCCGTTCCCAGCTTCAACAGAAAGTCCAAGTAATGACCAGGGACAATGAAACCAAACCACCCAAGTTCAAATCCCTCCTTGTTCACGTCAAAGCTGAATGGCTTCGGCGGCAAAACACGGACATTATTCAATATGCTTACACTGACATCATTACCCCCACCCCCACCCCCCCCCAGAAAAACGTAACAACTATGTAATGGTGATTGAAGCTTCAACAATTTCAGCAAGCCCCGAAACAAGAACTGAAGGTGATCGAAATTTCAAAAACAAGGTTCAAATGTCGCCGGCAGCAAGAACAAGAGTAAAAGGAGAGGCGAGAGAAAGGCACGAGCCAAACCCAAAGCAAAACCATGAGGAAACTCACTGTTCCTGGGTCCAGGGTTGGAGAATTCCACGCAACTGCCATTCGCTATCTGCTCATTCTGCAACAGTGAGGCAGTATGTTGCGCAAAGATGGGGGTTGCAAACGCTTGTGGATGTTTAGTAGTGACTCAGCGCCGTTCTATGGACTGTGCACATCCCTGACGAAAACAGCAAACAAAATCAAACAAGCCACACAAATGGGTGCTTCACAAGTGGCCAAGGCACGGAGTCGGTATCACCATAAATGACCTGAGCATCGTGAGGATAGCCCTTTTCAATGCAGTAGTTGGCCTTCGCAGCGTGGTGTGGATGATGGCTTTAGAACTCGATTCAACATAGTTCCTTTGGGGCAAACTCTTGCCTCCACCATCTGCTTTGTGTGGTCTATCATCGTTCGCCCGAAAGCCGTCACGCTGGAGGAGATATCTAGGCAGGGCAGTACGCCAACCGTGGCACCTGCACGACACCAAAGACAGTGTATAACGCCTGACATTCAAGGCATTGAATGTCTACAATTTGGGAATGCCTGTGAAGCCATACACCGAGTTTGCAGATACTTTCAGAGCAAGCCTGGGTGGTGAGCCGATGTCACTTCGCAACATGACAAAAAATCCGCCCGCACAAAAGGTGCTGGGGCGTGCGTATCCGGATGGCATAGTCAATCGCAAAATTTCAGCTTTAGCTGGGGAGGGGCCCATTATCGGGCAAGAAACCTTGTTGAAATCGAGTGAGAAAAAATAGAACGTCGTAAATAATTGCATGTGATAAAGGTTTTGGGACACGCAAATGTTTGAGGCGTTCTGGAAAAAGTTTTACTGTAATTTAAAAAAATGTTAGCCAGGTAGAACCAGCATAAACAAACATCAGCGGCTTCACGGTACGGCTCTAGCTGGCTAGGGGTTCGTTTTAGCCAGGTAGTCTCGGGATGGTAGGACACCAGTCCAACTATACATATATACTAGACTACTGGCCTGCTGATACCATGGCAAACTAGGAAAGCAAAAACAACAGCAAAATAGTTGAAAGGCTGTAGCTGGGTTCAGCAGATAGCTCTCCGGTGTGGGCGGACCCAGCCGCGTAGTGGGGCGAATAGCCCTTCTTCTTGACAAACGACTAGCCTCGCGGTGTTGGAAAATGTTGAAACTTAATGTGCGGCCCAGAGTCTGTCTGCCATTCAGAACAGACTTCGTGAGCGGATCCGTCGCCTCTGCCATGGCCTGGAGTCTGAAAGCTTTCATGAAAAGCAGTGCAAATGAGGACAGCATTGGCAAAGCCCCGCGAAAAGCTTTGCATTGTACCTTTTTAGCTCTCTTTCTGGCAGCCAGCAGCTCTTCCAGAATCATGGGAAGCAGCCCGCGTCGCTTTGAGCTTTTCAGGAAGAAACCTTGCTCAGTTTTGATGGAACCGTCCAGCTGTCCAGCTGATCTCTAAGGCAGGAAACAGCCGCTAGGTGTCTTTGTGTACTCATCTGGCTGAAGATCTCTGACCTGCAAAAAACGCACTAAGTGGGGCACAGTACACACCACGAAAGTGGGGCCTGCTCTGGTTTGAGAAGGGTGCAGTAGCAAAGATTGTGCGCCATCATGATGGAAGGATACCTGAAGCCAAAGAAGCAGCCTCGAAAATGGTTGCTACCATGCATGATGAAAATAGACGGCCACTGTAAAAAGTATATAGATGACATTTGCAACAGCGATTGCATTTAGCATGTTCCCTTGACTGTATAGAGGCGAGGTGACGAGTTGAGGGCCGAAGACTTGAAAAGGACTTGGTGAACTACTGGGAACAGCGCAACGCTGAGAAGAGCTGTGGGCTGAAGCGGCATGGAGTGAGATGAGGTAAACCGAGGAAACTGAAAAAGTGACAATGAGAAGAAATGAGATGCAACCTAGGGAAGGTGAAGAGCTGTTGTGTGATGCGAGCAAGGAGAGGCCCCGGGGCGAGACAAAACCCATCATGATCAGAGACTGACTGAAATCAATTAATTAAGAGACTGGATGTGGATGTGCGGTGTGGTGCTGTGAGACCACGGAAAACGAGACCAAGCGAGGCCAAGAAGAGTCATTGAGGTAGCTGATGCATGCTGTCACGCAGCTAAGCATGGCGTACATCATGGACTTGTGGAAACTCGTGCAAGTTGCAGGAGCAAAACAGGAACGGAGAACACAGCAACAAGCAGCTCACTATTTTATCCTAGACAGCCAAGTTGCAGAGATGCGAAGTCCAAAGTTGCGATTGGCTGTGGGTAGTATCCTGCACAGTTCCAAAGGCATGTTGCTGCTCTGGAAATGGTGCATTGTGTCCTGTCAATGGGTCCAAGACCGTTGCACCCTCAAACTTGTCGTTGGAAGCTTCTGTCTTCCTCAGCCCACATTACGCGAGCGCTGTCGATTCATGTTCCAAGTGGCAATGAGGCGGAGAAGTCTTTGACTGGGCTCCAAACGGCAGAGTAGGCATCACAAAGCCACACTGTTGTGCCTTCCGAAGAAGCTGAGACCTCAATACACTTTCCAAAGAAGTAAATCCTTACGGGCCCTTTTCAGATTGAAGTCATCATCAACGCAATTAAAAATACAAAACACACCTTTCGCGTGCTTGCCTAAGGCTTCAGCTGGACTTTGATCATCTGCCCCCGATTGAGCAAAAAGTTGATCGGAGTGCCAGTCACACGGGCCATCTCCACATAGTTGTACCTAGATACCATCATTCCGGCAGCAACAAGTAGAGCGAAACCAGTCGCAAAATCAAATTGCGCACATGCACAACAGCTTCTCCATCAAACGCATTGGAAGGTAGGCATCCTGCTGGGCTCGGCCAGTGCAACAACATGCAACAACTGATTTCCGAAGAATCTGGAGTAGGCCACTCTCGGGAGGATCCCGCTTTCACACCAAACCCCGAATGCCGATGAACTTTATAGTTGATTCCATCATCTGGAAAATCCTTTAGATGGTTTGATATTGACTCAGCCCTTCGTAAAGACCAAAGTTTGACGACCTCTGGGGGACACATTCGCCTTTGGCAGTGTGGGATAACGAGCAATTGTTGAAAATGTGCTTTGAAGCCAATTGACACATCAAGTTGCCAGGCAAAGCAAAATAGGTGAAGTTGTGCAAGAGAATTTTACTGCTCAGGTTCTATCATCACCCGCCTTCAAGCAGTAAATGGCCAAACGTCGTCGACTCTCAGCACTTCCGAGGAAGAGGTCGCCAATCATGCTATGGTGCACATCCTCACCAAAATGCGATTGAGCTGCTGGATGCCCTCACCGAGCCCTGAAACAACTGGACCAGTCTCCTCTTTTTGTTCGCCCAAAAACTCCGCCGAAACTGCGTTCAAAGAATATGAGCTCAACTTTTGCTCCTGAGGCAGGTGGCAATACGTGTAAAGAACTACTGGAAACAACCGAGGTAGCATAAGAACAAGAGTAAAGCAGAGCACATGCACACCGCATGCAGTAGTTTTGACGCAAAGACGGGTTGGGAAGACAATTCCCCTCTACAGTCGACAGCTACCGTCGACAGCGCTCGTTTTAGCCGACGGGAGCTGATTCAGAACATGAGATGCGTTGTCGGTTGGCATCAAGACACGCTGCGTGTCAAAATGGTTTGCTTACATAGAGTTCTCACTTTGAAATGCGCAATCCTCCCACCCGTCACACAGCCATTGCAATGTTTTTTGAAACCCTTGGTTACTTGGTTCCATCTTTCAATGTCACCACACTAGCATCAACCTCCCGCCACCAGCACTTCATTCTGCGCAAAAACTTGGTGCCCCCTGCAGATCCATAGCGTTCGCACGGATCCTATTCGTGCACGCATCTGATCATCTACGCTTGTATGCAATCGAGAACAATCAATCCAGAACCACAAACGAGTTCCTGTCCCATTGGTTATCGAAAATTCTGACATGTAATGTACTTCACTAATTCTGCAATCTGGAATGCAAGGCCAAAACAGGGCTGCTCTGTTTTGTGGAAGCTTGCGCGGCGCTATCATTTACGGAACAACCATTCAGACCTGGGTGAGCAACAACCTTGAGTCTCGAATCCACTGGTTTTCTGTCTAAATAGCATTGCACCATACCATGATTGAAGGTCAAGCCAAAAGAATCTTCATACAGGCATACATTGAGCGACGTGCAAAACCTCTTATGTGTTGTAGTGCGCACTCTTCCCAACGTTATCGTTTTTTCTGTGAACCTAATCGTTCCTGAGGGTTTGGACACACCTAACAACATGTACTAAAACCTTATCTTTTTTTTCTGTGAACCTTATCGTTCCTGAAGTTTTCCTTCACTTTACTTACTTAGTCTTCACTGTAGTGATGCTCTCTTCATCGGAGGTTTTGGCAGTTGCTCACATACAAGTTCTTCTGCCCTATCTTACATGATCTGTGAACTCTTTAGTCACTTTGCGGAGGCTTGTGGTTTGTGTGACACTCAAAGGGCCACAGGTACAAAACAGTAGAGCTTCAAAAGAAAGAAGCAGTTCATGGCTTGGATAAGCACAAACACGAGGACGACAATCATGAGCCAGCTATACACATGCTGCACTTCCTTCTGGATCACCGCAAGCATATCAAAGTTGATTCGTCCATCAATGTTGATCTCAATTGATTCTCGGCCGCTGAAGTTGTTGACTCGTTTGCGGCCTCGGGCCACAAAGCATGGAAGAGTTTTACAGTGTGAGCCTGCTTGAACTGAGCTCGTTGCATCTGTCATTTCTGAGCCGTCCTAATTTGCAAAAGTCTGTATTGATGTTCTTTACTTCCGAGCGGTCCACGAGGTACGGCCTGAAGAGCAGCAGCCGAGTCGCTGAAGAAAACTGAGAGCAATCCGTGAAGAGCAAAACTCTGAGGAATGTACAAATCAAAGTTGACAATGTTGTATCCAGTGATCACATCTGGGTCAGTCTCCTGAAAGCAAAAAGCTTGTCTTAGAGGGTGGCGCTTAGAAACTGCCCTGCGAAGAGAGAAGCTACAAGCTTGGTTTGACCCTCTTTCTCATGTTCTCTGCAAGTATGTCATTAGGGTATCCGATGTATGCTGTAAAAGCAATGACCACGGCCTTTGAAGAAGTATATACACAAGCACGGCAGGTATGGCAGTGAGGCAGAAAATCAGTGCCAGCTGCGTGGGCCATGTGAAAATCGAGAACACGCGATCGTTCAGTGAGGTGTGCGCCTCCACAAAAAACTGAACAAAGGGATGTGCAACGTTCATTCCGAAAGCCAAGCGGTTCATAGCTGCAAGCCACGGCCTGCATGGCCTGGTAGGAGTTTTCACACGACAGCCCTCACATAGGAAAGCAGTTCCCACTGCCAACGCTGCTTGCCAAACTCCTGTGGTCAGCAGCTTTTGTTGCTGCAAGCCTTCCAAGTGCTCCTTGAGGATCTGTTCGCCCCAGCCTCCACGGGAAATGCCATGGACCAAAAGCGCGATGAGCATGAAGCAAGCACCAAGCACACGCAAGTGCCGCCATTTGCCACTCAAAGGCTGGCAAGCAAACCCAAGACTGCAAAGCACTAGCATCTGAAGAGCAATGCCACGAGAATGATGCACCCACCACACATCGACAAAGTCAGTCCTACTGAAGCCAAACGCCAGAACGACGGCGAATATGCTTAGAGCGCAAGGTCGGCCAAGGGCAAGGATACAGGTTGTCAATGTAAATGCTTGGATTTCCAGCTGAAAGTTCCACAGGTTGACACATGGATTACCATTTCCTGAATACCAATCACTGTCACCATCCTGCAGCAGCAGGGCCCCAACATCGCCCAACAGGAAGGAGTATCGCCACTTTCGGTTCATACACTTTCCGGTCGCATGATACCACCGAATGCCAAACCAAGGGAAAGCGTGATTGTAGGGATTGTAAGGAACACTTGGAAGGACAAAAAGATAAAACCAGCTCCAAAAAAGGCAAACCGGTAGCTGTCGCAGGTATTTGTTCCAAGACCGTAGAAGTCCCTTCCGAAGCCGAGAGAATGCAGACGTATTGGGTTTTCTGCTTGCCCGGGAATCACTGCATGCACACAAATAAGCAGAAAGCTGGATGAAAGCATCATTGACCAAAGCCAACGGACGCACCGCGGCGAAAATCATATAGTTTCGCTCCAACACGTCGATATAACGCCATTTTGAACCCTGTGTGACATGCAAGGTGATCAAAGCACCTACGTATGCAACTCGTACCCAACACAAATCCCCAGAAAACTCCTCACCTTGAGGCACACTGACAAGCTCCCTGCATCCTTGGAAGACGCTAAACGCCTGTACCAAGATGGGACCTTGCTTGGCTGACTCCTTCCTCAAGATGCGCGTCAGCTCCCAAAGCGTTGCCAACAAAGAAGGAACTAAAGCAAAGGCTGCTCCAACAAATATTGGCCAATGCAGATCGAATGATAAGTTCAAGGAGGACTTGTACTCTTTGACTGTAATTGAATATTGCAAGCTCTTCGACTCATCAATGGTGCCATCCGGCAAGACATGCACGTGGTGGTCAAAGAAGTGGTGGTACATTTGTGGCAAAACCTCCTGAGATAGAAACACCGGATCACATTCTCGAGGTAGACAAGCCCCAAAGTCCGAGGTTGCAGCGGGTGCCCTCCATGCTTGGTAGAAGAGCAGGGCAAAGAAGAAGCGATGGCCTTCTTCCATACACACAGTTGACTCCCCGCGTCTATGGAGAATGTCCCAATTATGATCTTGTGCCATAACAGCACTCAGGTCTCTCAAGCGTTCTGCATCTGAATTAAAGGAGGTGAGGCACTTTGTTTGGTCTGCCTTGCACACAGACATCAGCAGGAGGAGCACAAGGAGCCACAACGTGCACGTGTCACGAGGAAGGGGAAAGTGTGACAAATCATGTGAGGAAAGCTCGTTCAGTGCCATTGCTTTCAAGGATCAACGCGCTCCGATTGATTCCACTGAGCATAGATCAACATGGATGAAGATTGCATTGCGTCGTCGTCAGCACAAACGCTTCATGATGCTCCATGACTAAATGAGTGTAGTTGATTTATGTAGCGGTGATTCTTGACGACCGCATTGCATTCAAAACATGGCATGGACGGAGGGCCTGCCTGATTCTATATACCTGTTATGAAAGCCTGATGTTATGCTGCAGACTGCCAAGCCAATTGCAGCAGCATAGATGCAGTCTTTGGCAAGATTGAAGCCATGTGCCACATTGCAAACACGTTGCCGGGCTCATTGCGCACAATTATACATTCTTATGTAATGTTTTAATCAACCTGCCCATCTCCTGGACAAAGTGTCGGAAGCTCATCAGCATCTCCTCCTCGGTCTCGAAAGCATACACGGTCGCTCCTGTTCAGCTCTTTCCAACGGTCATGCAGCAAAAGGCTACATGGAGTATACAAGTAAGCCTGCAATCGGAACTCAAAAGGCCTTGCACTCAACTACCCCTTAGTACCAACAGGAACGGTTTTGCACACAAGAACGCCAAATGAACTCACCAATGTGTTTCGGTGTCCGTGCCTGCAATCTCATTGCACGAATTCAACGTCCACACAGCATGAGAAAGCCTGAGTGGGCACAGGACGCCGCTTGTACGTTCCAGCTACCCTCTACATTGGAACAACACTCCTAGTGCTGGCTGGTCCGTTTCACTCTTGGTATTAGATATTCAGGAAATGGCGCGCGCTCACAACCATGGACCTCCACAGCAACTACAAACAAAATGTGGCTCTCACGCTGACGGAAGTACAAACCCTCCCCCTGCCTTCAAGTAAACAGCTATCTGGATCACTGGGCTGCTTTCTGCTTTTGGAAAGCCCTGGTCACGTCGAATCCAAGTAGTTACGACCCGTGGCCAAGGGCTTCAAAACTTTCAAGGTTTGCACCTGGCCTTCCCTTCAGGATTGTAGCACCTAAGGAAATGAACGATGAACGTGGAATCCCGCTAACGAACCTGGCGTCCACCTCTGTGTCATTCTGAGAGGTGCGCTCGATATCAAATGAGAGAATACGTAAAGGAGCAATGTGAAGTTTTTCCTGCCAAGTTGGTGGAGGAGAGCCATGTCGACTTGAGCTAACTAGCCTTCACCAGATAGGAACAGTGTTTCTCTAAAGTTTTTTCATCTAGGCCAGGCCTGTGGTTTCAAATCCGAATAGTACATGTCCACTTCAAGCTGGCACCAACTGAGGTGGTCAGCGCCTTCCAAATGCAAGATCTGACCATGTTAGCTGTCAAGCGCGTCAAGGAAGGAAGGAAGGGAGGAAGGAAGGAAGGAAGGAAGGGAGGAAGGAAGGAAGGGAGGGAAGGAAAGAAGGAAGGGAAGGGAAGAAGGAAGGGAAGGGAAGGAAGGGAAGGAAGGGAAGGAAGGGAAGGAAGGGAAGGAAGGGAAGGGAAGGGAAGGGAAGGGAAGGGAAGGGAAGGGAAGGGAAGGGAAGGGAAGGGAAGGGAAGGGAAGGGAAGGGAAGGGAAGGGAAGGGATTGGAAGGGAATGGATTGGAAGGGATTGAAAGGGATTGAAAAGGAAGGAAAAGGAACGGGAGGGAAAGGAAGGGAAAGGAAAGGAAGAGACAGGAAGGGACAGGAAGGGACAGGAAGGGAAGGCAAGGCAAGGGAATGGAATGGAAGGGAAAGGCCACAAAAGGGAATGGAACGGAAAGGAAAGGAAAGGCAACAGAAGGAGGGGACGGGAAGGGAAGGCAAGGCAAGGCAAGGGAGAGAAAGAAAGAAAGAAAGAAAGAAGGTAGGTAGTGATTCCTTTCGACGCGAAGGGTTTTTGGCAGAAGGGTGGCCTTCACCATTGCATCAGCCGCCAGCCTCAGCGTGTATTCATATTGCACATGTGTCACTCCTGACCAGCCCACTGAAATCCGCGCGTGGATCACAGGCCGCTGGATTGCCCTCAAGGCCTTCATGGGAGCCATCAAGACCAACACGCCGCACAAAGGGGCCTGGCATGTCCCTGCAGCAACAGGACAGCGGAGCAAGCGGCAGATCTGCAGCACAATTTGGGACATGTTTCAGTGAGGCAGCTGAAGGAAAATGAAGATCTCAAAAAGGCTCTCCAGCACAATTCCATTGTGAGTGAGCTTGCAGCTGCCAGCGCAACGGAGGAATGTCCGCCTGAGGCCCTGGATGAAATCTACAACTTTGCTGTTCGCAGGGCGCAGTTGCTTCTTGAAGACAAAAGACATTTCATGCATCAAGAAGGAGGAACCGTCACGGTCCAGCTTGTGGACAAGGGTGTCAAGCAACACAAGGCCAGAGCAGATGTCTTTTGGCAGCTGACGCACAAGCCAGAGGCAGTGGGCATCTCTGGCACAGTTCAATGCGGCCGTCATCGCAAACGCATCAAAGCCTGCGCTACACATGAAGAGATTGCCTTCAAAGGTGTGCAGGAAACCCGGATGTGACTTTGGCAGCGCAGCTGTGCCAAAGCTTCCGCTGGTGACCATTCTGGGCATCCTCTGATCGTCACCATCTCACACATGACCTCTTTCAAAGGAGGAGTGCCACTATGGATCTTGGGCGCTGGTGCCGCTGCAGGGTGCCGCTGCCAGACGCGTGGCCGTGCGCGCTTTGGAGCTTGGGCGCTGTTGCTGCTGCCAGGTGCGTGGCCACGCGCGCTTTTCGCTTGGGCGCTGTTTGGGATGCTGGCGCTATTGGCGGGCGCTGCAGAGTGTCGCTGCAGGGTGCTGCTGCTAGATGCCTATGGCAGTGTGCGGCTTCGAGCTGCACGCTCATGCCGCTGCCCGCAAATATCTTTTACGATTTGCGGGCCTATGCCGGTGTAATGTTTTCTCCCTTCCATTATGAGGGCCACCCCGATATAGAATCATTGCACTCAAGTACTCGAGCTTCACAACGCTCCTGACCTGGACGCAAAGAAACACTTACACGATAGACCCTGCAACAGCACCAGCGCTAGCCCCGAACCTGCAGCGGCGCCAGCATCCAAGCTTCCAAGCGCACACAGCACCGCCGCCACGCAGCGGCCCCAGCACCCAAGCTCCCAGCGCCGGCGCCCTGCAGGGCCCTCCAGCGCCAGCGCCCAAGCTCAAAAGTGCACACGACCACACAGCGATGCCAGCGCCCAAGCTCCAAGGCCACTCCAAGCGCACACAGCCACACATCTGGCAGCGGCGCCCTGCAGCCGCACCAGCCCCCAAGCTCCAAAGGGCACACAGCCACACATCTGGCTGCACCCTGCAACGAGCGCGGCCACACATCTGGCAGCAGCACCTGCGGCATCAGCGCCCAAGCTCTGAAGCGCGCACAGATCTTAAATCACCGATGTACATACATGCTTGCAAATATGTGCATACGTGCATGCATGTATACGTGCATACAGGCATTCAGGCATACGTGCGTACATGAGTACATGCATACATGCGTTAAGTTACGGTACGGTACATTACGTTACATTACATCACATTTCACTACATTACATACATATTCGTATATGACATACATTACCTACATTACAGTACAGCACATGACATGACATGACATTACATGCCACTACATTACATGCCTACATACCTACATACCTACGTACCTACATACCTTCATACCTACATACGGACATACGGACATACATACATACATACATACATACACATACATGCACATACATACATACATACATACATACATGCATACACACACACACATACATACATACATACATACATACCTACATACATATAATACATACACACCTGAGAAAGGAGAGGACGAAAGCCAGCGAGAGACCAACACGGTAATGCAAGACTGGGAGGAACCAATAGCAAAGCACTTATTGTTGAGTGCCTGTGGCTTTCGTGGAGCTTGTATCGGTCAAGGTCGGAGCACAGCATGAAGCGTTGAATGTTTTACCTGGCGCGGTGCTCTCTGGAGCGTCCCTGTTTTGTGGTCTATTTGAGAATCCGGGAAAAAAGAAACGTCAGTGAAGACCTTCTTTGAATGGTTGTAGTTTTCGTGGAGCTGGTATCACTGCGACGTAGACGAAGATCGGAGCACAGCATGAAGTGTTGAACGCTTGCAGCTTTCTTGCTTCTCCTCTTGCGGCGCTCTTATCCCCAAGCCTCTACCTCGCCCAACTGCACATACTCACATCGTTCGCTCCCAGAGCGTTCACTCTTTGTTGCCCCCTCCGCGCCCCCTTAACTCACTTCGTTCGCTCTAAGAGCTCAAGCCTAGCCTATCGGCTGGCTTTCGTAACATACACACATACATACATACATACATACTTACTTACTTACTTACTTACATTACATTACATTACATACATTACATACATGCATACATGCATACATGCTTACATACATACATGCATGCATACATGCATACATGCTTACATACATACATGCATACATGCATACATGCATACATACATGCATGCATACATGCATACATACATACATACATAAATTACACCACCGTAGACCCCAAACAGGTGGGACAACAACGAAGCATTCCCAAGTCCACATTTTGAGACATCAAGAAGAAGGGAGACAAGAAGGGAGACAAAAGGAAACAGAAGGGAGACAAGACAATGGCCAACAAGAAGGGAGACAAGAAGGGAGACAAAAGGAAACAGAAGGGAGACAAGACGGACACAATGGCCAACAAGAAGGGAGACAAACGGAAGGGAGACAAGACGCACACAATGGCGACAAGGCGGACACAGTGACCAACAAGAAGGGAGACAAGAAGGGAGACAAAGGTAACAGAGGGGCACAAGGCGGACACAGTGACCAACAAGAAGGGAGACAAGACCGGAGACAAAGGGAGGAGCCATGTAGCATTTCTATTCATTTGCCCCAGGTCTGTCACTGCTTGCGTCCGCCCTTTTCCGCTGGCGACGCAACATTTCTATTCATTCCCCAATCAGTGTACTTCTAGGGGTTCTCAATTCTTTCTTAAAACGTGCCCGCCCTTTCTGTCACTGCTGGCGTCCGCCCTTTTCCGCTGGCCATGCAGCGTTTCAATTCATTTGTATCAAAAGTGGTTTCTTTACTTTTGTCTCCCAAGTCCGGTGTGCCCTGCTAGTGTCCACCCTAATCAGCTGGCCATGCAGCGTTTCTATTCATTTGCCTCCCAAATGATTTGTTTACTGTTCTTTTCCAGGTTCCCCTTTCCAGCATTTCTACTCATTCGTCTCCCAGGTGGTTTCTGCACTTCCCCAAACTGGTTATATACTGTTAGGGGTCCTCAAGGCTTTCTAAGAGTGTCCGCCTTGCTGCGGGACAGCGTGTCCGCCTTCCGTCCAGCTTGTCTCCCTTTGTCTCCCTTCTTGTTGGTCACTGTGTCCGCCTTCTCCCTTCTGTCAACGGAAAAGGGCGGACACCAGCAGCGACAGACCTGGGAGACAAATGAATTCAAATGCTACATGGCCAGCGGAAAAGGGCGGACACCACCAGTGACAAACCTGGAAGACAAATGAATAGAAATGTTGCATCGCCAGCGGAAAAGGGCGGACACCAGCAGTGACAGACCTGGGAGACAAATGAATAGAAATGCTACATGGCCAATGGAAAAGGGCGGATACCAGCAGCGACCTGGGAGACAAATGAATAGAAATGCTGCATGGCCAGCGGAAAAGGGCGGACACCAGCAGTGACAGACCTGGGAGACAAATGAATAGAAATGCCACATTGTAGCTACATGGCCAGCGGAAAAGGGCGGACACCAGCAGTGACACAAAGGGCGGACACATCTTAAGAAAGAATTGAGAACCCCTAACAGTAAACTGTTTGGGGAATAAACATAAATAAACATAAATAAACATAAACATAAACATAAACATAAACATAAACATACATACATACATACATACATAAATACATACATACATACATACCAGACCAAAATGAAAAACACCAACCAATGGTAGTACTTCTCCCACCACGTGGGGCCTTTCACTGTTTGAGTTGTCCAGCACGAGCTGTCAAGCGCAACGAGGCGGCTTCGCTGCCCTTGATTGTAGCCCGTCAAACTGTCAAAAATATGGTGCTTTTTGACAATGTTCGTTGTGAAGGAGTTCGAGTGACTTGACGGGTGCGGTCAGCCAGGCCTTACACTTGCAGAGTGCATCCTTTGCCTCCCGGCTCAATGCGCTGGAGAAGCAGCAGGTCAGGAGTCTTTGCAGTGTGAGTACCAAGGAAACAGAGCACTGGAGCTTCAAGAGAACAACAAAC